CTCTCGCCGGCGGGGAGGCGCCCCTGGCCATCGCTCGGACGTCCCTTCCCTGTGTTTTTGTTGGGGGGGTTCGTGCGTGGCTTTTTCGCCAGATGCTCAAGGATGCTCCTTGATAGTCCTCGCCGAGGAAAAAATGCACGCGTCCGAGCGATGCCAGGCAGAATTCAGGCGGCGGGCGCGGGAGCGCAGGGGAGGGCGCAGGAGGGGTGGCGCAGGGGGGGCGGCGGCCGCAGGGGCGCGCCAGGAGAGAGCGAGGGGGGAGGGAGGGTGGGCGGAGGAGGGAGGGAGGAGGGAGGGAGCACGGAGAGGACGGGGAGGATGGGGGAGCGAGGGTGTGGGTGGTGGAGGAGGAAGGACGGGGGCGGGTAATCAGAGGGGGGGGATGGCGGGAGGGGAGGGAGGAGGGAGGGAAGTGGGAGGAGAGGGGAGGGACAGGGATGGAGAGAGGGAGAGAGGGAGGGAAGGAGAATGGACCTTTGATTCCTCCTCCTCTCTTTTTTTTTTTTCATCATCATGATCATCATAATCACCAGCATATTCATCTTCGTCTTCATCTTCATCACCTTCGTCTCATTCATCTTCATCTTCATCTCCAGATCCATCTTCTTCATCATCATGGCTCAAGAAACACTGGCTCGAGCTGCCTGAAGTTCTGTCCGCTCACATCTCACAAAAGTCTCCGATACCATGTTTAGCCTTTCTTTAAGGCTTGTTACACCGATTTGGACAGGGATGTCGAACAGAGAGAAAAAGCAAACGCGCCGTTGTAAGACAGGATCAACTCCAGAGAAGCAGAATAATAATAAGAGGAGGAAGGAGGAGAAGGAGGAGATTGAAGGACGGGGGAATACAACACGGGAATCGATGGACGGGATAATGGTGGAAAAAGGCCCCCCTTAGTGGTTTCAAGATTTCGATCGGCCTACCGAAGCAGGGCGACGGCGTCACTACCGACATCAACGAGGTGAAGAATATGGTACTGGAAGCAAAAACGACGAGGCAGGTAAAGCTTCACAGGTTGCGAGAGACATGGAAGAACACCGTGACGACCTTAAGTTCGACATCGGGAACTTGAGGCTGACAGTGGAACCATTTTACCTCACGAAGAATTCCATGACCAGTGAAATGAAGTCCACAGCCGAAGCTGCAGTCATAGAAGCATTACGCGCTGACCAGCAATGACAGCATCATCTCGGCCGAAAGGGGGCTGCAGAAGAGGAACATTATGAGAGATAATTGCGTTACATATATGGCGACCGCAAGAACAACACTAACGAGCAAACCGTCATATATTACCAAAACAGATCAAGCAATTAATGTTACTGACAAGACCGTCAAGATCTTCAACTACACCGATCCGTCGCGCATCGGAGTAGTACAAGTCAAGACACTACGAGGCAAACAAAGATTCCTCACGAGAATGCGTACGTGCAGCCACAAGTGGAACACCAACGACCGAATGTGGTGCGAAAGTGATACCTCACTGGACAAGCGGGCCGTTGATTAGACGTTGGGGCAGATACAACACGAGTTGATGGGAAAGAGGTACAACCAGCGTAGTGTCAAGATTCACAAGGACCAGGGGCAAGTTACGATGAAAAAGAAGCTTGATGCAAAAATTGCGCGCCATGGCAGCATGCAGATGTACCGTGAGGGCGTCGAGGCCCAGAAGGCCGTAGAGGAACACATGGACAACTGGTATTACCAGCCTGGAACATATCCCTATCCCTATGCTGGGCATCTCCTCATCACGATGCCAATCTTAGGGATTCCCTCATTTTTTGAGGGCGAATCCCTAAGATTATCATCGCCTTTGGGCGTGTCAATCTTAGCGATAAGGATACGTTCGAGGCTGATAATGGTGGAGAGGTCGCGGCCAAAACTCCGAAGCCTGACCACATCTACGAACCGGAAACGCTAACAACCGTCGTGCCAGGGGAAGTTTAGCGAGATCGACGGAGAGATGGAGTGAGTTACGGATCACAGGACGAAAAACTAAAAACTGTTTCAAGACATCCGACGGGCATTGTATCGCCTACATTGATTTCACCAACGATTGTTTCATCCATTGAAATTTTGCCGCGTAATTTTCCGATGAGTGTTTCTCCGACTACAATCGCTTGTGAATCGAATGTGAATGGGATTCCCCAGCCAACTACTTACCCAACCACCCAAAGAACGACCCGTGAACACTCTGAGGAAGGTGCGTCTGACTTCTGTGGTGGAGGAAGGGGCAAATACAGAACAGTAGATGGAGATGTTTTAGGTCTGACTTTTGGTGCCCGCCCTTAGGATCCACCTTCAGGTTTCGACGCTGCGGCGCACCCGCCCGTCTCGCAGGAGGCTGGACATGTGATGTGCAAAATGGTCGGGATTTGGTACAGGATTCTGGAGATTCTATGTGAGCTCGATGAGGTGCGCTGATATGGTGTGACAGTCAATGAGACTATGAGAACATACCCATAGGAACAGTGGAAAATGAAATATGGCCATTTACTTATGGCGTCTGGAAAATGACAACCAACGCGACACGTAACGATCATAGCTCTCAAGCGTTGGAAACGTCATATCAAAAGGCTACACCCAATCAACGAACGCATTGAATATGTGGACGCATCTGCTCGTGGGTTACACATGAGGCTTGTGACGGCAATGTGTCCTCACGGCGGATATGCTGACAAACATGGGGAGAATAAGTGTACGACATCTGGGTAAACTTGCACGACGAAACACACGTTCAAACATACTAGTTTGCAATATGTGCGGACATCAATGCCCGGGTGGTGGGGGAACCAAATATGTCATACGAATTGGGTCGCTGCAAATACCGTGCAAAACGTCCGGGGACATGGCTCACAAATGGGGCACCAGGGAGGCGCCTGCACGCTTTTCCAGAAGCAGCCCGAACTGCGATGGCCACTCACTGGCACGGACAACTCGCACAGACAGAATGATCATTCGCTGGTACAGTCAACCCGTATAGTAAGGATGCACGATAAGGATGCAAGGGCCTTGGACGCCCACTTCGAAGCCTTTCGAGCGGGCCGCGGCCAACGAAAGCGGCCAAGGATGGGCCGAGAAGGCAAGGATGCAAAGATACCCTTGGGAAGGTTGCCTATCCTTATTATCCGGGTTGACTGTAGACAACAAGCTCTGGAAAGACTGTGGGGCCACAGCGCCGGCAGGTATATGATCCGACCACAGAGCTATTCACATGCGAAACGCAACCTTGCGGAAAGGCACTGCGCCAACGGCAACCGCAAAGCATCCAAGAAGGCGGCCCCGAAACCGTCGAAACAGCCACCATATGATGAGAGACAATACCGAGGACAATTAATATGACCATCTGGGGAGTTTTTTGGGGCACTCCTTGACTACAGATCACCAAGACAGCAAACATGCGGAGGAAACCGGTGTCGGTTCGACGCGATTAACTACGCAGCTGGGCGAATGAAAGGTGGCCCCGTCTACTCAGAACGAGATTACCGAACTACTGGCCCTACGACGGAATACGGACCTTGAGGACAGGGCAGAAAGACGACGCCTGAAACAAGAAAATACGGCACGCGGTCTGGACGAAAGAGCACGCGAAAAGCCGTGCAGAGATCAACCGTCTGTTGTCTGATTACCAAAACCAAGACACAACGGAAGGACAACATGATTCATGTACGGAGAACGCGCAGAATAATACCCAAAACGACAGGCAAGGCATAGCGGATGTGTTTTCGGAGATTCACAGGGAATCGTACAAGGATCTGCACCAAGACAATGGAAGCAACAACCAGGCACGTGATATTATGTCACAACACCAAGAACGATTGCACAATTTACGATGGAGGGGCGAATTACGTGACATCGCCAATCAACAAATCTATACAATCTACCGACTCTGGGGGCATTGCGGGCGAACTGCTCAAGCACCGGGGACCTCCGTACACAGCGTGCTGCTCATGCCGCGCAACGACATATACAATAGAACGGCGCCGCTCGCAGATTATTGCAAACATTCGGTTGTGAAACTATTGCACCAGAGTGGTAATGATGAACTACCACAAAGTTAACGCCCTGTCTGCGTCGTACAAACGCCCAACAGGCTATTATCAGAGGGCGCGCCGCTGGATGTCCCCAATGGGGTGGGGGGGGGACCCTCCCCCTCCCATGTTCCCCGATCCGTCGTCGGGGAACCCCCTCCTTCCCTGCCCCCCTTTCCCGATCCGTCGTCGGGGACTCCCCCCCCCCTTCCCCCCTTTGAAAAGGGGGGGGAGGGGGTTCCGACCCCCCACCCCTCCCCCCCTTTGGCCGCCAAATTCGAACCCCCTCCCCGTCCCCCCCCTTTCGCCACGGCGCCCCCGAACTCCGGAACCCGACCCCTGCCACCCCTGCCACTAAACCACTGTTCCTATTAATATACGCCGCCTCCCCCATGCGACTGGGAGCCAACCCAGGTCCATGCGGGCACCCCCCCACCATCCCTCTGTAAATTACCCTGGCGACGTACCCAACCCCTGCGCAAACGCGGGGCGCAAATAGTTTAGGACACTTTATAAAGGGGGCGATAACGGAACGAGGGTTACATATGTCTGCAGACGGTGTTCGGGACACTCGCAGGACACTGGCTACAGAACAAGGACTAGATAAAGCTGATGAGTTACAATCCCTGAGCAACCCTAGCCACTTCGAAGGCGGGGATCTCAGATCGCAGCCCCCCAGGGATGGCGAGGTCAAATTTGGGTCCGCGCGTGGCGACACTGTTCTGGGCCCCCCAGCAGGCCTCGAAAGTGGCGACAGTTTCACAGATCGCAGCCCCCCAGGGATGGCGAGGTCTAACTTGAATCTGCGTGTGACGTCACTGCGCTGGGCCCCCCAGCAGGCCTCGAAAGTGGCGACAGTTTCACAGATCGCAGCCCCCCCAGGGATGGCGAGGTCTAATTTGAATCTGCGTGTGGCGTCACTGTGCTGGGACCCCCAGCAGGCCTCGAAAGTGGCGACGGGTTCACAGA